GATCCATAATAGATTTGAAGAGCGATCTGACACTATGGAAATATCTAGAGATCTACAAGGATGACCACAGCTAACAATCTAATCAATAATGGAGAGGCTAACTTAAATGTCATTTTATGATAATTAGATTGACTACTACCTTATAAGCCATTCCAGAGCCTTATTCCAATATATGAGGGAAGCAGAAGAAGACATGCACAGCTAAATATCTGAGCTGAAGTCCTGGAATCCACTTGCAGATATGGAGGAGTGATGACCAAAGGGGTCAAGATCAGGCAGGAGAAACCCACAGAAACAGCTGACCTGAAAAGGGAGTAGTTCAAAGACACCAGACTGATAGCTGGTTAACTAGCAAAAGACTGTTCCAGATCCCCTGAATATGGATATCAGATTGGAAGTCTGAGCAATATATGGGGCCTCTGGTAGTGGGTCAGTATTTACCCAAAGTACACAAATGAACCTTAGGATACCACTCCAAATTGAGGGATAGTCTCTCAGCCTAGAAACATGGGGGAGGGTCAAGGCCCTGCTGTAAATGCTTTGCCGGACTTTGAAGAACCACCATGGAAGGCCTGACCCTCTTTGGGGAGCAGAAAGAGTATGGGATAGGGTGCCAGTGGGGAGAAGGGAGTGAAGGGAGGGGTACCTGGGACTGATATGTAAAACAAGTTTGTTTCTAATTTAAATAAAAAAGAAGAAAAAAATCTGTATTACTCATCATCCCACTAATGAAAACTTATTTCATAGTCAAGGCTGGGGAGAGTAGTGAAGGTTCAACTACTCTGTATCTCCATCCATTTCATTTTCTGACTATGCAGGAAATTTTCCCTTGTGGAAAGTAGATAATATATTTTGGGGAAGTCCTGTGCATTTGTCAATAAAGCACTGTCTGGCCAATAGTGAATCTAGATAGGAGGGACTAGTAGTCCAGAAGGACTCTGGGTAAGGAGAAACACAAGAGAGTCAAGATGTAACCACCACGGGGTAGGAAGCCCGGAACTACTCTCTGGAAAGAGACATACTTAGATTAACACTTATGGGGTAATTACTTAAGTCAGAGCTAGCCAGTAAGAAACAAGCAAGGCCAACAGCTTCATAATTATTATAGCCTCCTGTGTGATTATTTGGGACTGATGCGGCTCTAGAACCAGGCTGGCAGGAAGGCTCCTCCCAAAGAAAAAAGCCTCTCTTTACAGAATGGTATCAGAGTGGGATTGAATTTCCACGTAGAATGACAAAAGCTATAAAGGAATTTTAGAAACAGAAGAATGGAGAGAAGCACAGATTTTTGATAGCAGCATTTTTCTCAGGTGTTTTGTTTGTGACAAGCCGAGATTCACGTGGCTCGCTTACCGGAGTCTTCCTATCTCGACATAAAAAAAAAAACAGCAAGGTTGTTTTAAGAGACTCTGCTAATGATTAAAAGGTGTGTACGTACAGCTGGAAGTGGCAGCTTTTGCTGGATGTCAGCAGTGACTGAGGCAGTAAGCTGGAATCACACTTACGCCCGCCATCTTGGAAACAGCAGTTTAAACAGCCGCAGTTTTAACAGATAACACATGTGGCCAGAAAAACATAAAGATTTACAGTAAAGGATTACAGTAAAAGACTAGGATGAAGAAAAACCTCTAAAAGTTTACAGTGTGTTTAAAAATATGAGTAAGATTGACAGAGAAAATAAAGAAGCCGGTTGTGGTGGCGCACACCGGTAGGAATTGCTCCAGAGGCAGAGGCAGTCAGATTTCCAAAGAGAAACCCTGTCTCAGAGAAAAATAAATAAAAGTGAAAGAAATAGAGTAATAATAATAATAGATAAATAAATAAGCCACGTAAAGATGGAAAATACACAGAGAGTATGGATACTGTATGCTATTGTGTTTTTCAGTTTTTTGGTTGCTCAGGAAGGAACTGCTACTAAAGTAGTCTTGATTATAAATGCTGCTAAATTAATCCAACTTCTATCTTTTGAAAATGCCTTGACTTCAAAATTTAAGTATAAGGATATGTTACTTGGAAAAGGAGATTTTGCTTATGTTTCTACAGAAAATGAAAAGCTGAGGATTCCTTCCAGGCTTCTGTGGATGACGAACCAAGACCCCCGGAAGCAGTGGAGCAGGTGTTCCAACAATTGAAACAGCTAAGATGATGGAGCTTTACAGACCCTGAAAATAAGGACTTATACAGGCTTCTGTGTTTTGTCATGATCCCCATGGTATGAACAGTGCCCCCTTCCAGCACGAAGCAGTTTGGAATGAGCGACGTCCTAATTCCAATCTTGTTTATAAATCTTTGTTTTCACTTAAATGGGGTTGTTTATAATTGGCTAGTAATCACAGCCAATCTTTTTAATGGTAAAAAAGGGGAATTATGGTATGGGTATTGTTTTTCATTTATTGATACAAATTCAGGGTCAATTTTGTGATGTGTATATTTCTCCTCTTGATTAAGTATTGTGCTTATACTGATCTTTTAAAACATTATGCGTAATTAAATACAGACTATAGATAGTTACTTATAATAGTCAGAACTTATAGTTAGGTTAGTTTGGTTTTCTAGATATACAGAAATATATTTGAGATAGATAAACTGTCTTCAAACCTCTCAAAGACCTTCAGAAAATGCCATTTAAAATGGTTTAGGTTTTTCTTGACAATGAGAAATGTCTGCTCCTGGCAGCACCAATTATGTCTGAGAGGAACATGGGCATCGAAGAAAGTTGTTAGGGAGTTTGCTTTCAACATGCCAAGATTAGCCATTTGGCAAGGAACTGCTCTTGCCTGAACTGTTTGTTGTTGTATAATCTGGACATGAAGGACCCACAGGAAAGTGTCTACTAAACTCAGTCTTACAGGGTTCCTGCTTCATGGAAGAGTCTACAGGACTTTCTGCAGGACACAGAAAAATGACTGACAGACTGCTGATGCAGATGGAGAGTTTGAAATTTCCTGCTTGGCTGAGAAATCTTCTGGATACATTGTGGCCTATGGGCTGAAGATGGATGCCCCAACGTTACAGTGGAACTTCGGGTGACTGTCCAGGCAGTAAGATGTCTCTATCAATCCTAGTGTTTATATATTATCCTTCTGTGGTCTTTGATGGAGTTGAAGACAGATAGTTATAATTATAGTTTTCCTTAGTTATGATAAAAGATAAGCTACATATAGGACTTTGGACTCACAAGAATGACATAGATGATATTTTCTTTAAATCTTGCTAAAATATTGTAAATATGTTCTTATTTGATAACTGTTCTGTTATATATAATTTGACTGTGTTAAAGTTAAGACTTTCTTTTTGTTTAAACAGAAAAGAGGAGATGTTGGGGAAGTCCTGTGCATTCGAGGTGGTATCTCCACTATTGCTTAGCTTGCCAATTGGTGAAAAAAAACAATGGAATCTTGAAGTTCGCAGGTAAATAGATACCACTGGAAGAAACCATCCTGAGTGAGGTAACCCAGTCGCAAAAAGACAAACATGGTATGTACTCACTCATATATGGATTTTAGACATGGATCAGGATAGTGCCAGTCTGCACTTCCACTGATAGAGAGTCTGGGAAACAGGAAAGAACCTAAAACATAAGCATATATGCATAGTACCCAAGAGAAGAGGATTGAGACAAGATCCTCTGAATGGATGGGGAACAGGGCGAGGGGTGGGGGGCAGTGGGATTTGTGAAGAAGAGAGGGGAAGAAGATGAGGAGAGAGTAGGTCATGGGGGAACAGGAAGTTTGAATGGGTGGGGGTAGAATAGGGGGAAGAGGGAATCATAGGTTAGAAGACAGATCAGGCATCAGAGTGACCTCTACTGATCTAAAGGGATGACTACCATAAAATCTTAAGGCATCCACTGCTGGTAAAATTACTACAGAGCGTATGTGAAATTTATGATTTTCCTAAACTTCCCCAAGCATCATCATTTCCTAAAACTGAACCCTTTCTTGGTTATCAGAGTCATTGCATTTCAAAACCAAATATGAATTGCTTGTGATAACTTAAGTCAATGGAGTACACGTATATAATGTTAAGGGGAAAATTATGACAAACACTGTCAATCTGGCCAGCTATCCACAGACAGTGAGATAACAGGTATTCGAATAGAACCTACTGACAAAATTTTTAAGACAGTAAAATTTCTATATGCATTTAAAATATGTATCTATTTACCCACAGATGAGTGTAGCACTCACACCAACAAAGTAGCTTCATTTTCCAGAAGATGGATACCATAACAATAATCTTCTGGTCAAAATACAACTGGCATTGCTATGACCAATCAAATTTAAAAAATAGAAAAACTCACTCAACACTGCACACTTGGGTAATATTGTGGAAGATTTGGAAGAAAGACCATAAGATGCAGAGGAATATTTTTCCTGCAGTGAGAAAGTATCCTCTATGTATGACTATAAATATTCAATGTTTATATATGAAAATAAGATACATAAAGTTTAATAAAATATATAAAGACTCTTGAACTGGAAATGGCAAAGTAGACAGGAGAATACTCACAGGATCTAACGGCTAGTTGAAGAGCTACCTGCAATGATAGATGCTAAAATATGACGAGGTAGACATCTGAAGGATGAACGCTTTCATGGCACAGATGACAAAAAGGATAGAGCGCTAAACACATGCACACACGGTCTATATGAGGAATATTCAGCAGTTTTTTAATTATACATAATTACATATATCCCAAAACATTGTGGAAGTTTTTCTTAAGCTCTAAAAATCTCAGTGTTTAATAAACTTTGACAATCATTTCCACAGACACCTGAAATTATAACTACATGACTCCATTATGTTACATCTATATGGGTGCAAGAGGCTGCTCTGTACTATTGGTATAAACTGTATCCTATTTCCATTTTTGATCTCCATACCTATAAAAATACTACCTGAAATTTGCATGTATTTTCTCTATTCTAATACACCTGCTATATGGGAAGCCATTGACAAATTGTCAGGTTCACATTGCATTTTCCTACATCTCTTACCTTAACACAAGTATCTCTCAGAGCTGAATCTCTTCATGAGACACATATGTCTGTAAAAACAGAAGGACCCATGTTTCCTTTGCAGTGAGTTGCTGATGCTTCTGTCATTGATGTGGAATTCCCAGGTAGAAAACAGTCACAGAGGTATCAAGCATACCTGCCATCAAGGAGAAAAATTCTGTAATCCTGGGATTTCTCAAATCGTTGCAATTTTCCAGGTGGCCTAACCTTCTTGGTATACCTCACCTTCTCTGTTTTCCATGTCCCTTAAAGGAAACTTTGTCATCTCTTCCAAAGACAAAAGAAAGGACAAAAAAGTGACTCTGTAACATAAAGTTAATTTCCACACTTTATGTTCAATTACACTTCACTTTCCTGATATCAAAAACAAAATCATCGTTCATCCCAAAAAAAACCTGCAATTTTTGTGAATTCATATTTATTGACACAATGTACAAATAGATAGGAAACAGTGAGAACTTGAAATTTCAGAACATAGGAAAAGCTTGTTGTCATGAAATCAGTTGGATATTGTTAAAGATTAGTAAAATGAAAAAAGGTGCTCTAAATGAAAAATTAAATATATCTTTGTATATGGCCATGGATGTATGAAGGTTCTGCTTTATTTGCACAAAGGTTTGGAGCCAAGAACAATACTAGGTCATTTCCTCCATCCAGATCCTCGTTGTTTTCTTTGACACAGAATCAGTCATTGCTCTTAGAGCTCAGCAGCTTGTTACAATGGTAGGCCAATTCTGAGACAACAGTGTGTTTTTGTGTGTGTAAGACACCCCCGATTTTTGTCATCATTTCCACAGTATATTATAGATGTAAGAACAACAGAAAAATTGAGAGAGATATGTTTACATGTTAGTATATATGTATTTGGATGTGAATGTGTTTAACAATAATGATTAATGAGGGGCTGACGAATTTGAAAGTGGACTGATGAGTGCACAATAATATGAGAGATGGTTATGTACATATTATGTAAATGACCATCTCTTGTATTGAAATCTCATATTTCTATAATAAAGAAAAAATTTTGAAAAGGGAGTTAAAAAGTACAGTTTTGCCAGAGTGGGAGAATAAGAGAATTGGGATTAAAATTACTAAAATTTATATGAATGTATGAAAACACATGCATTAACAAAGATTAATTCAATAAGAATTAAAAGAGACTCAAGAAATCAGGCCATACAAAGAACTTGAATCTTATCAACTTAAAAGAAATAAATACCCAGGATACTAAAGGTTCTGTACTTTCCCAGGAGACAAAAAGAAAAGATACAAATGGATGCGACTTCAATGACAATTTACAGGACATTCACCTCATGGCAAATACTGCAGTAAATAAGCAGTAGATTTTTCTGTGGCAGGAAACATAAGCCATGTCTAGTTGGAAACAATTTTCATATGATTTCTACAGAAATAGGAAGACATACACAAATATGGTGAGCAGACAAGTTAACACATGAAAATGTAAATGTATAATGGAATGTTGTGTGAAAGGAATTAGTAATATAATATGAACTTTAAAAAAACAAGATCTACAATACCACAGGTTAGGAATGGTGAGCATTTCTTCGATGATGCATTCCCAGATGTTGGGGAGAAGCATTTCTTCCGTGCTTTATCCTAAGATTACACATGAGCAGGCTTGTGAGACCTTATATCAGGATCTTGAAATAAGAGAGGAAATTTTTAGTAATAAATAGTGAGAAATTGTAAAATATATAAATGTAAACAAAATATCAATTTCATATAGATAGCAAGATCTACATATGTTAGAGAGAGTCCCAAGTTCCTAGATAAGTAGTTTTAATATTATACTAAATGCAGTATACACAAATATGTAGAGATTATGTAGAGTGGGCCAATAGATCTCCACAAGTTTTATTCTTTCGTCATAGTGAATTATTATAACATTTATACTGAACCAAGAGAATTCCAATATCAATGAAAGTGTGCTGGAAAAGAAAAGTACACCACAGTAATTCACTTTAAACAGTCTTGGAGAACAAAACTAACTTATAACTCCCATTAAATAGTCTTCTGTATATGACCTTAAGTTCAATTTAAAGAAAGAAACTCAAAATAATTTTAAATATATGAAATGACAGACTATGGACACCCCCATGGAGAGCCTCGCCCTCCCTGGGGAAAAGAGTGGATAATGGGAGGGTTGGGGGGAGGGCACGGGAGGAGGGGAGGGAAAGGGAGAGGGACCTGGAACTGACTTGTGAAGCAACCTTGTTTCTTATCTAAATTTAAACTGAAAAAAAATGTAAAACTAAATTTTAAGGGAATATAATTTTCAAAAATATCTATAATTTATGCAGATATACTTGCACAACATGATATCTCAAAAGACAATTAGTATTCTTTCTCTTAGAAGGTACACAACCTCACCAGAATCAAGGGTTTGTTAGCCTCATTATATGGTAAAGATGCCAGGGAATCAAGACTTGCTAGACTTCTGCTGCCCTTGTCTCCATAACCTGGCCTTATGTGAAAACTATTGGGGGAACCTTTGTAGGTCAGAAGATGCGGTCCTCCCCTTATCTACAGAAAAGGAATAACTCCTAGAGATTCATATTAAAAGGGTGATTAATTCTAGGAATTTTACTCAGCAAGTGGTAACGCCCTAACTGACATGTACAAATAAGATGAACAGTAGACAATTGAACCTAAGCCTACAACATGACTTTAAAAGACATGACCTGGTGTAAGTGAAGCACTAATTAATCAAGGAATAAACTTATCTCTAATATCTTCAGCAAATTCCAGAATATAATTAGATATTAAGTTCAATCTAAATATTTATATGAGTAATCCACAATACAAATGAAATGTGGAATCAGTTGGTTTTATAATACCATAAGGTCAAGGAAGACGTCTGCTCCAATGTCAGTTTCTCAAGATGCAGAAAGGAAGCATGGTTGTAGTTTTTGAATGCAACTTCATTAAACAGCACTGACAGACTCTGTAACAGAAATAAATGATATAAATTAATGAACATCATAGGGATAAATATCAGTTTTCTTAAAGCTATAAACATGTACTTAAGATTACTAATAACTTGAACTTATAGTTTTAATGACACAATTTGTTGACTTAAATAGAAAATAACCAAAAATTATAACTATAAAAAGTCAATAATACTCAAAGCTCTTCAGAGATTGAGGATAACTTCTGAAAACAAAGGCCTTGAAAAAAATTAACAATCCTTTCTCCATAAATCCATAAAATTCCAGTACCTTCGAAAATATGAGTGAAGTATCATGTGGTCCTCCACTAGATTTGCAGAGACTTTTGTTAGCTTGAACTGTGCCAAGCAAGTCTGGTACATAGAGTTATAACTTGAGGGATTCATGAGTGCCATTCTGCTATCGTGTTCAACAAATATTAATTGATTCGAATATCTACTACCTCTGCCCCATTTGAGACAATAATTCTCATTAAATTTCACAAAATAATCTTACTTTGCTTGAAACCAATATGTATGTTTCTGTCAATGATCATCATGGACTTGGATACTAAAGACACAACTATCCATGAATGTTTACTTCTGTATTCTAGGAAGAAACTCTGGTGCTCATAATTAAAATTGTGTTTCTGCCTAAACCAACTTCCCACCCAGGCATATTCTGACCTTAAAAGAAAAAGTAACCCATTGAATATATTTCAAGGTCTATATGATTGAACAATGAATGTAATTCAAAGACCTAAAGACTGACCATTGTATAAAATTAAAATATCATAAACGGGAATACACTATAAATCTATGTAACTCTTCTACCATATCTGAGTGCCACTTCAATATTCAATTTATTTTTCTGAAGTATTAAAAATCAGGAAAGTGTCGATGTTGTGCTACTGTGAGCCACTAAGATGTAAGGGAACATGAGCAGCACATAGGAATCTCTGCTACATTCTACATCCATGTGAGCCAAACTTTTCTCCAAGCATTCACATTTACTATATTGCATGTAAGTTTTTTTTCAGAATTTCTTACAATATTAATGTGATAAAGAGAATCTTGTATGTGGTTCAAATTATATTGGTGCTAATCCTTACAATCGTGCAATCTTAAATTCACTAAATACTGGTAAAATTAAGTTAGAATTTAAATTAAATTCATGATTGTGTTACCTTCCCCCAGCATCATCATTTCCTAAATCTTAGTCCTTACTCAATTATCCGACTCCTAGCAGTTCAAATCCACATGTGAATTTTTTGTGATCTCACTGGACAATGGAGTAGACTTACATAATGGGCATGGAAAAAGTTGTGGCAAACAGTGTAAAACTGGCCAACTATACACCGATGCTCAGATAGCAGGTATTTCAAAAGAACCTACAGAGGGAAGTATTTAAGGCAATAAAATGTATATAAGAATTTAAAATATTTATCCATTTACCCGCAGATCTGTGTAGCACCCCCCCTCAGCAAAGTAGCTTTATTTTCCAGAAGAAAGACAACAATAATTCACTGGACAAAATGCAACAGACCCTGTTATGCCCCTTAACAATTGATAAACACAAAAAGAAAACACTTTGATAATATTGTGGAAGAGGTGGCAGAAAGACCATAAGATATAGAGGAATACAATGCCTGCTATGAGGAAGCATCATTTATATACGACTATAATGCTTCATTGTTTGTATCTCAAAATTTAAAAGAAAATGCCAAACTAAATTGGAAAAAACATCACAGGGTGTAACTGATAGTTAAACAGCTACCTGCAGTGATACATGCTAAAATATAACGTAGCAGATTTATCTAAGATGAGACATTTCATGGGACAGAGGGGAAAAAGAAGGCAGCCCTAAAGACTTCCTTGCATGCTCTATATGAAAAATATACAAATGCCGAAGAATTCTGGTGTTTTCTTTATTTAAACATAGTAAAATATATGCCACTATAAAAAATTAAAAATATGAATCATGGAATTTTTTTCTGCAACTCTGTCCCGCGCTACCATCTCGCCAGCAAGAACGACGCAGGACACTCGAATCCTTCTGCAGTAAAGCTTTAATACATCTTGAGAGATAGATGATCAGCTTCTGAGAGGGAGACCCCAAGCTAAGAAACCCAGCCCCTTATATAAGCCTAGGAGCTCCGAGTGAGACGTGTAGAGCCGGGATTGGTGGTTTGCTCATCACCCCAGATGTCGGGTGAGGCACAGCTTAAACGGTAAACTCCAACTGACAGCAGATGTCAGCGCCATCTTCTAATGGCGATAGCGATAGCGAGGGCGGCTCCTCACATCTCCCCCTATTCATTTATTTTTGAAGCCATAGGACACCCACAACTTTGGAGTGGAGATAGAGGTCAAATCCCCATGTGCAAATTTGGAACATGTACAAAGCTCCTCTCCAGGGTCTTATCCCCAGAGGGAGCCCTGACCAGTCCCGATGTCGTTTATCTGGGGGAAGGAGATCATGACATAGAACCTTCATGCAAGATGACTTATCTCCCAGGAGAAAGTCGTTATACCGCAGACCTCTCCTGTGCAGTGCTTAGCCTTGCAACTCCTTGGGCTGCTGAAGCCTACCCACTCTATCCCGTGCAATGAGACTAGCCTCGTGGGGTGCAAGAGCCGGGAGGCCAGCGACCTATTGCTTTAACATGGTTAACCAAATGTCAGGGGAGGCTCCGTGTTCTAAGGCAGCAAGTGCTTGTGCCACCATCACTTTGTCTCTTTTGTTTGGGCTCTGAGCTTACACACCATCCAAAGCATCAACACTATTCCACAGCAGAGAACTAGGCTAAATGATCCCACCCCCACCCATTCCTTAAAATAAGAAAATGCAGATGAAATCCAGGAGGAGAGGCCTTCCATCAGAGAAAGATCCAGACGCGTCGAATTCACTTGCAGGATCGCCACTCTCAACTCACGGAGTGTCTGCTCAAACTCAAAAGTCCAATTCTGTAATAAATGTTGAGACAGAGCTTTTGACAGGTTAGCTGCTCTTGTAAAATTCTCATATTGTACTGAAGTGAACACAAAGGCCAGGCAACTTTTGTTCACATCCCAATTGGGCCATCTGCCACAATATATCCAATTGTTCCTGAACCAAATTAATCTGTTGGTTTACCAACATCAGGCCTCCTTGTATCTGAGAATTGGCAGTGGCCTGTTTATCTAGGGCCATGGTCACAGTGGCCGATAGTTCATTAATGGTTTGAGTTGTCTGCACAGTGGCAGAAAGTGCAAGGGCCGAGGCGGTAACCGAAGCAGTAACCGCGGCGGCGGCTATCAGGCCCACAATAATAGCAGAGATCCCAAAAATCTCGCTTTTCCCTAAACAAACTCAAACTACTTGGCACCTCAACAGGAACTGGAACAAATCGAGGCATGCGCATTACCAAAGCAAAAGGGTGCTTAATAGCATCCCAGCATAATGCATAAAAACAATTCTAAGCAGAGCAATTTATTTCTTTCTGATTCTTACCTAAGGTATCATTACTCACAACCCAAATAAAGGGCAGCCAAACACAAATTGGAGCAGCTGAATAATTAGTTCTCTTAAAAGGGGTATACTTAACATTGGAGGAGGACCAATCAGATGATCCAGAGCTCTGTCCCTCACTCAGACTGTTGCCTAATGCCCCTTTCCAATCAAAAGTAATCTGTCCCTTCTCACTATATCCTCCAACAATCATTGCCATAGGAGAAAGATCAGTACAGCTTCCATTAATTCAAAAGGATTAGCATTAGATCTTTCTGGATCCATATGAATAAAATTATCCTTTAATGAAGAAATCACAGTAAAGCACAAGCTTCCTACCAATGACAAGGTTCTCTCATCCTGAAAACTCTGTATCTGAGGATCTAAAGGCAAAAGGCAAGCCCCAACTCTCTATTAGTTGTGAAAAATCTAGGGAACACCTGGGCATTATGCATCACTGGCATCGGTAGGGGAAGGTAGACATGATGGCCCACCGTAACTCTCCCATCATACTAGGAACCATCATCCCGAGTAGGAGAGTCTTCATCACCCACTTGGCCTCCATCCTTCTTATTCTGGAGTTGTGAAGGAGCTCTTCGAGTGAGTCTTTCAGGGATCCACAGGGGGTTTTCTTCCTCCTGTGGAAAAACACACACAGCTCCCCTGGATCTTATAAGAATAGGATCCGGGCCTTTCCAGAGATCAGTCAAGACATCTTTCCATTTTACCATTTCTTTTGGCCTATCAGGCTCTAAACTGTGGCGATCAGCCGCAGTGTGGCCTTGGGCATCAGAGTTCAAGAAATTAAGGGTAAAAAGTGCCATGGATACAGCAACTCTTGGTACCGAGGGTAGAACATCCTCAATACTCCCCTTTTGTTTAATCAGATATGATTTGAGTGTACGATGGGCACGTTCCACAATGCCCTGTCCTTGAGGGTTATAAGGTAGGCCAGTTAGATGGGTAACATCCATTTGCCGACAAAACTGTCGGAATTTTTGAGAGGTATATGCTGGTCCATTGTCTGTTTTTAAAATTCTGGGTTTTCCCCAAGCACTCCAGGCCTCAAGGCAATGTTGAATCACATATGAGGCCTTTTCCCCTGTTAGGGGTGTGGCGAACATTACGCCAGAACAGGTGTCAACAGAAACATGAACATATTGAAGCCTTCCAAAAGAGGGAATATGAGTAACATCCATCTGCCACATCTGCAATGGTCTAATGCCACGTGGGTTTATTCCCATGTGGGGAGTAGGTAAGAATTCGCAGCAATTCTGGCATTGAGTAACAATTTCCCTAGCCTCTTTCCTGGATAGAGCAAAACGACGGCGCAAGGTCTCAGCCGTCACATGAAAGCGCTGATGGAATTCTTTTGCTGCTTGTGCATGGGTAGACAAGGCAGCGGCCACCAGCTTTGTAGCCTTGTCCGCTAAGTCATTCCCTAAGGACATGGGACCTGGGAGTCCAGAATGTGCTCGGACATGGGTAATGAAAACAGGAAATCTCCTATTTAACAAGGCAGCTTGTATCTTCTGAAAGATGTTAGCAACTCTGCTGGAGGATCTTATTATTCCAGCTATC